CACACACACAGACACACAAACTGCAAAGACTCCCATTATGTGCTTCGCACATGGGAGTCAAAAAATACATAAAAAATGCTAAATTTTAATTAAAATGTAAAATACAACAATGAATTGCAGCAGCCAATCATTAGTAACATTCTTACCAAGTTACATGAAAATCGTTTTAATGCTTCTTGAGATATAACTGAAATAGCTTAAAATTCACACATTATTATGCAGATGAGCTCATTAATATGCATGGATGTCAACCAAAAACTAATCAAATCTGCGCATTGCCCCAGACAAGCTATATACCAAGTTTCATTGAAATGCGAACATTGGTTCTTGAGATATCGATGGAACAGACACACACACAGACAGACAGACAGACAGACACACACACACACAGACAGACACACTAACTGCAAAGACTCCCTTTTTGTGCTTCGCACACGGGAGTCAAAAAGGTTATACCAAATATATGAAAGTTTGTTTTATATGGCTCTTTTCGTCTTAATAGACTGTCAAAGCAGCATGTAGTTGCTGCTTGCCTGGGCTTTGGATATGGAGAAGGTGCCTAGCCCATAGAACACGTTTCCCCCGCTCGACACAGATGATAAGAGACAAAGGAAAGACAGGGTCAATACGTTTGAGAATCAGCTGAGTTACAGGAGCTGCCAGTGATCAAATTGGTTAAGAAACCTATTTGACCACTGCTTTAGGGGCTCTCCCTCCGGATTTTCTTATAGGGTTTACTCCCTTAGCCTTTCATACTCCTGTATGTTCCTACAAGGCAGCAGTGATTTATTATTTCTACAAATCACACTGTGGGGCATAGCTAATGGCGTTGTCCGATATGCCATTAATGCCAAGTTTGAATCTACTAATTTTTTAATGAGGTACTTAACAGTCCTGACACCCATTCAATTTCTCCATTTGGCTATATAGCGGACTACTGGTCACAACCCTAAACCTGTATTTCTTAGCAAATGTTTCCCATTCCCAGCTTGTAAACTGAGGCCTTTTATCCGATCTGAACTCATCAGGTATCCCATGAAGCAAACATTGATTTAAATGAACTATTACATCACTACTGTTACTTTTGGAAGTGAACTTTTAATTTGGCAACTTCCACGAACCTTGAGTAATGATCCACAACGAGGAGATACGTGGCATTCATCTTTTTTACTTTCTTTATCTGGTCTAATGGCATAAGGAGTTCTGGACAAAAGATCTGGTATAATGAGATCTATGCAAGGTACATGAAATATATCAAAATAGTATCTCATCAGTCTAATTCAGAATCGCTGTATTTTAAGCAAGAGCTCATTCAATTCCTTTTGTCCAAAAGGGGATAAAAGAGGTTTGTGGTCAATTTGAATATCAAAATAGTATCTCATCAGTCTAATTCAGAATCGCTGTATTTTAAGCAAGAGCTCATTCAATTCCTTTTGTCCAAAAAGGGATAAAAGAGGTTTGTGGTCAATTTGAATTATGAATTTGAGACCAATTAGAAAATTTGTTAATGTATCACATGCCCAAGTGCTTCCTTTTCAATGATGGCATAATTTTGCTCAGTTTTGGAAACAGATCTTGATGCACAAAATACTAGTACTTATTTCCACTCCCCACTTGTTTGCTTTTGAAACAAACAAGCATCTAAACCAATTTTTGAAGCATCACTGGCAACTTTAATTTAGGATCATACAGAGCAAGACACAGCCTATTTGCACATACCAATTTAATTTCATTAAAATGTGTTTGTAGTAGTTTTTTAATGGGATGGGTAAGGTCTGATAATTTTGGTGAAAATTAGCCAAGTTGGATTACCATACCCAGGAATCTAATACTGGGAATCAAATAACAATCTATCAGGTCTGTTAAGTTTAACACCAAGGACTAAAGTTGAGTACATACTCTCAGGTAAAATAGTAACATCTGTACCTGTCTCTATAGCAAATTAACCTTGCACTTATTAACATCTAATTCTATGTTCCAAATAGAATCAGATTGTCCATTAGCAGTAACATTACCATAAAATGCGTAACTTATATTAGCCAAGTCCTCAGGCTCTGAATTAGAGTCACTAGATGTACTGCTTGGATGATCAGTTCCATTTGTAACATGCTGAACACATTATTATTAGCTGGTCTATTTCCACATCTAAAATACTTGTTATTTTAGTTCTTTGACGGCTTGTACTTCGATCTGATTTTTGTATAACACTTCATCAATATCTGCCTCATTTTCTTTTGGCTCATCATCTTCTTTTGTTCATGTTCTTTCTCAACTTGTTCACTCAATCTTACTGTAGTCTTGGCTTTTTCTGGGGTTAAATCACAGTTGTAGTTTTCTCTGGAGTTTCTTATCACGTATTCCAACTACAATACAATCTCTGATCAATTCCTCTTTCAGGTTACCATAATTGCAATGTCCTGCTAAAAGGTATAAACCAGTAATATATTCGTCTACTGTCTCACCTTCTCTTTGTTTCCTTTTATTAAATTTAGATCGTTCATAAATTATGTTTCTTCTGACTAAAAAGTAATCATTGAATGTTGCTTTCACCACAGTCTATTCTGGCCAATCAACTGCTTCTTCTTCTTTTTCTTGAGGTACAGGGGCAGGTGGAAATTCAAAACAATTGAAAAATTCCTCTTCACGGTCACCCATACAGTAAATCAGTGTATTTATTCGTACAGATTGCGGTTTCTCACCAATGTTCAAATCTCTTGATCCATTCTTTCCTATGTTCCCTTTGAATGAAAACTTTCCAGGTGGGATTATTTGAAACTGGGTAGCCATATTTGATCTTTCAATAATTGTACTAACATCAAAACCCAACGTCTGTAGGTAAATACTCTAATCAAGCTTAGAATGGTCAGAGTTAATTGTCCTAACAAACAAGATTTTTCGCCAATTTTTGTCAGCAATAATTATGAGTTATCACTGAATAATTTTGACTACGATGATTGATAACAAGATCACTTCACAGTAACACATTTTTGTGCACTCAAATTCAGAATGTAGAAAGTCACGTTATATGATAAATCTAATGTTACTACCGGTATGTCATCTGCTTGAGTAAAGGGGCATATGCAATTACACTGGAGGCTGGTGTGTTAGGGTTTTGTTTAGGGGTGAGGGGGCCAGGAGGAACTCATCCCAATTTTCTTGAATGTGACATGAAATATAAAACATGTAAAAATAAGAAAATAACAATATTTTTACTTCTGAGTAACATTCTATCTTAAGGTACATGTAGATGCCAACTCATAATTTTTGAAAAAGTTGGTCATAAATCGCATGACAATGTTCATTGGTTTATTATGTAAATTGTTAAGCTAATGTCCTATGGCACCATAAATTAGAATTCTTTTGTGTGTTACAGTGACATATTCAGAAAAACTTGTTCTAATATTTTCCAAAAATCGCTATTTTTAGAACAATTCCATAGAGCACAATGTTAAAGGAAAATTGCATTTTTTAGCACTTTTTAAAACATGGATAAAAAAAAATAATTGAGGACAACAAAAAGTACCCCATCATTCACAATATGTAATTTTTTTCAGCCTGTGTCACCAGCCTACAATTTGAGATATAGAATAATATCTGCCATAGAAACCTATGGTAAAAGCGTTATAATACTGTCAAAATGGCCAATATCCACTAAAATTGAACAATAATTTTTTCGAAAATTAAGCTGGTGATCCCAACTTTATTTTAACTCCATATCTTTATATTGCCCAGAAGTACAATTATTGGAAAATGAATAAATTCTGGATATTTTTTATTTATCAGGAGGCCTCTACCGTAACACATGTCAGTTGAAGGGGCGTTATGTAAGTAAGTAAATAACTTTATTGATTTTGTATCCTTATTGGGATCTTGAAAATAATACAATAAAGAATGTTGTTTAAATAAACAACAGCTAGCTAAAAAAGTAACAAACTAAAGTAAACAATTAGAAAATTAGATCAATAAGTAAAACAGAACAAAAGTAAAAAAATACAAGAAATGTAAAATTGAGTGATTATTTTGGGGCAGCTGGTGGTTTTTTCAGTGTAATATCTCTGCGGTTAAAGCAGTTAAAAATGTATTTTGCATAGTCAGTGATTTCTTTGTTGTCGGTAGAGGTGAGAATTTTTATCATGATTTCTTCCTAAGCT